TTAAGTTGAGAAATTGTGTTTATTCTGTGGATAAATGCCATGGAATCTCGAATCTCCTTAAAAAACACAACCACAAAAGTGCACGACATCACTAAGGTAAAAAATTTGGGGAAAGGGTATAGGGTAAGAAAGAAACCAAAGACAACAGAATAAGCAACAAATTAACGGCGTCAGACGCAGGGACAACCGTGACCCCCAAACACTCACTAGGGCTGCGATAGCCATATGACAACCAAGCATCAGCAGAGAGTCCCAGGGAAGGTCAAGCAGTGGCTGGCCTAGTTCACTATCCTCACACCCAATCTAGTCACCACCCCATCCCCACTAACCACCAAGTTTATATATCACATTGCATTGTTTATTTTCACAAGCAGAGCCAGTCCAGCGACATTGAAGCGCAGGCCCAGCATGTTAATATGTCTTGTTCAGTCACAGGCGTCCTTAATAGATGCCTTTTGTCTTAGTTATGGTACAGAGCAATATAACTCGGGCAGCTTGGCTTCTGCATTCTCACAACAAATGCATCTGTCCCAGGAGTACCATCCACCGGACGAGCACAGCCAACATAAAAGCCAAGACTTGAGCCAGGACTCCAATCACCGCACTTGAAACGCATCAGTACACCCCCGAGATGATGAATGTGTTTACAGTGGAATTTCACGGGTTGGATTTGAACTGAGGATTTCGGCTCCGTTGGCTCAGTACTTTGTCTTTAGAGATTAGGTCTCTGAAGACTGAAATGGCACAATGAACAACACTTTATCCTGTCCACAAGATTAATTACTGGCTTGTAGTGGAACTTTTAGGGATACCTTCTACTGTCGTAAAATGTCACCAATTTCCAAGGTCATAATTTTTTACAACACTGATTTGTTTGCATATTAAATGTTTTACTTTACCCAAAGTGGCTACTATTGCATGTAGAAGCAATTACCTTTTCAACCTTTTAAGTGTTTGATCAATTCAGCCAAACGACTCTGGGAATGAAGTCTTGGGAGGCTTGTATGATTAAGAGGTGATAGCCAAGCCCCGGTGTAAACGTTACGTATACATCCTGATTTTGTCAATTAGGAATGGACTAATGGGGTCTGGTGTAGGATGTTTGTAGCCAAGACATGCGATTATTAGTTATCACGTTATGTCCTTTGTTAATCATTGAGCCATTATTGTGTCCGCACACATCAAATGGGGTGTGTAATGTACATTTGTGGTTTAGCTCATTATTTATTCGTATGCCATGACAAAGGTACAAAGACATGTTGCACTTTTATTTTACTTATAAAATCACCAGACCCGACATCCCAACTGACCTTTGGCCAGCACAAGCAGCCTTAGTTGTTGTGCAGTCATGTTTGGGTACGGAGTGACAATGTGGTCCTCAAATCCTCGTGCTTAACACCGTAGCTTGAAATCACTTTTAGGCTTGCGTGCCCCACTCCCTACCAGGAAAATTATGTTTTTCCAGTGTCTTGTGTGACGCCAGTGGTAAGAGATATGCATTGGGATGGTTAATCGCCATGTGATTACTAATGCGGCACTTAAGTCCATCTGGGTTGCTGAAAGCTTTGGTCATTGTGCATGTACTGCAAAACGTGAAATCCAGTTAAAAAAATGTAATTTTGCTAATATATAAAACTCCATTGTAGTATAAGTAAAGCTTTCTTACCATTGCAGTACAAGCATTGTTTGTTAATTCAACTTTTTTATTCTTTGATCCTGTGGCGTTAATCATATTCGCTCCAGCATCTAAAACAGAGGGCAACTATTAGCAGTGGTAGGTTTAGACAAGCAAATAATTTCCAAACGTGTGAAGCTCAGGATCGAGAAGTGATAGTGCATCAGTGAAGTAGTCTGAGGCGACCCCTTAATACTGGTAGGAACCTCCTATTTACACCAGCCCACAGGGGAATATTGTGTCTTTCCGTCTTGCATCCAAAAATGTGAGGGGTGGGGGAGGGTGGGGAGGGGCTGGGAGGGGAGGGTGGGGAGGGGCTGGGTGGGGATGGTGGGGAGGGGCTGGGTGGGGAGGGTGGGGAGGGGCTGGGTGGGGAGGGGCTGGGTGGGGAGGGGCTGGGTGGGGAGGGGCTGGGTGGGGAGGGGCTGGGTGGGGAGGGTGGGGCTGGGTGGGGAGGGTGGGGGGTGGGAGGGGTTGGGCTAGTGGGGAGGGGCTGGTCACCCCGTGGTGCCCTTATAAAACTCAACGTTTAACCTACTCACGCCGGCTTGTGCCCGCCCTCAGTCGGGCATATTTGTGGAATACACCACGTGGTGCCGCCGTTGACCCTGGTCATTGACCGAGCAACCCAACGTTCCTACCAGCTCCCTCCACAGGAATGTGTTTTGAATGAATTGCGTTTGGAAATCTAAAGCCCGTCGAGGCATTTACCCGGTCAAGGTTAAATGTCACGGTATAAGCAACTAAATAAAATCGAAAATATCAGGGCAAGGGTTGGGATGATAGAAATACAAACTTTAGTGTGAGGGATCAGCTACCTAGAGCATGGTGCACATTACAATGTTGAGTATTCACGAACTGATGAAAAATCCTTCCCGTGTTACATTTCCCAAAAGTATGAATTTCGTCATTGTCAGCCAATGTCACCATATGTATATGCCTCTAACCATGAGGTATTTTTTGTGGATTACATGACTGATAGGTCTGACAGCTGTGGCCTTGCATAGCTCATTAACTGGATTTGTATATGTGGTAGTTGCAGAAATCCTTTTCGAAGGCTATATTCCTTTGTAGGTAAATGGGGAGAGCACTAAATTGAATGTAATTGTGATAATGGCTGTGCTTATTTCCAACTGTAAAATAACAATATGTGTTTATATTTTCTAATTGATTAAATGGTTTTTTTTTTTGTGGTCGATTCAGATACGTACCATTTCCTTGCTTTCCCGATCCTCACCTTGCTAGAAACCCAGTTTTTTTTTATAATCACCTTCATAATGTTACATTAACTCTGTGTGCAGACTACTGTTTTTGTTTGCCTGCTCACAACTAATCTTTTAACAATCACTTTGTCGATTTAAAGCTTTCGTGACTGCAGGGATTCATATTCTTGGTTCTTTCTGTAAAGTCACGTAGAAGGGAAACAATATATTTGTATTATTTTATTGTTTCCCTTCTACGTGACTTTACCGAAAGAACCAAGAATATAATCACTTTGTCAGTATTTTATTTATTATTTGTCAACTCACCTTCATAGGTGGTCATAGAAAACTTTTTTCTATGACCACCTTGATAATATTACATTTATACTGTTTGTATGCAAACAACTAATTTTTCTCTTCCTCGCTTCTTTCACTAAACGCATGTACATATAATCCTGTTATTTTAATAATCTCCTTCAAAATATAAAAACACTGATTTTTGTGTGCTCACAACTAACATTCTTTCAATAACCTGGTCATTGATAATATTCGTATTGTGTCAACTAACGTTGACAGAAACCGTAATTTTAAAGAATCACCTTGCAAATATTACATTCATAATGTTTGTGTGCTGACAACTAATATTTCAAAATTGACTTGGTCAATATTAATATATTTTTTATTGTGTCTAAGTCCTTGTGTGCATGTGAGTCCATGTGCGTGTCTGCCACCATGTGTGTGTGTCAGTTCATGTGTGTGCGACTCGATGTGTATGTGCATGGGTGTGTACAAAACTAATATTTAACAATTAGGTTACTTCAATTTTAAATAATTACGTGTGTGTCTGCGTCGATATGTGTGTGTGTGTGAGTTGACGTGTCTGTGTGTCAGCGTCCATGTGTGTGTCAGTCGATGTGTGTGTGTGAGAGTCCATGTTTGTGTGCGTGAGTCGATATGTGTGTGTCAGTCAATGTGTGTGTGTTAGTCAATGTGTGTGCGTGTTTTGTGTGTGCATAAACAAAAAAGTTTTTACAATTTTAATAGTACATTTCTTCATATTTATGTCTGTCTAAGTACATGTGTGCATGTGACTCGATGTGTGTGTGTGGCTCCATGTGAGCGTCTTAGTCCATTTCTTTGTGTGTGTGTACGTGCATGTGTGTGTGAGTCGACGTGTCTATGTGTCAGTCGATGTATGTGTGTGTTGATGTGTGTCTGAGAGTCTGTGTGTGTGCGTGAGTCGGTGTGTGTGTGTGAGGGCCCATGTGTGTGTGAGAGAGTCGATGTGGCTCTGTGTGTCAGTCCATGTGTGTGTGTGGCTCCAGGTGAGTGTGGAAGTCCATTTCTTTGTGTGTATGAGTCCATATGTGTGTGTAAGTCGATGTCTTTGTGTGTGTGGGTCAATGTCTGTGTGTGTAGGTCTATGTGTGTCTGTCTTTTGCCCGGGCAACGCCGGATACTTACCGCTAGTTGGTTATATAATGCTTATCTTGTTATATAACATCACAAGAAAATAGATTATTGCATCATAAGACTTTATTACTGTAAAAATGAAAATTTGGTCCTTGGTTTAATGCATCATTGTGGACAAATCTCAACAAATTCATCCTTTGCGTTATTAAGAAGGGCTATTTGCCCAAATGTACCTATTATATCCTTTTCTATTGAGGTCACATTACTATTGATAAATCTGAGTATATTGTTGGTTGTGCTTGTGCACGACTGCCAATGCGGTTTCACCAAATCATTTGTTTGGTGTAGACTAAGATGTCGTTCTTTGCTAGATAAAATGTGTTTACTCTACAACGTAATCACCAAAATCATCACCGGTGAGAGTGCTGCATAGGCAACTGATGAAAGAAAACGTAGGCTGTATGAAGTCACACAGCAGTACACAGTAGATGTATTGTAGCCGGATGCTGTCCTTGAATTGGTTACAGCTTCACATCTGTAATGTTCTCGTTAACGTGTAAATGTTGGCATGGTATTGCCCTGGGAGAGGTTGTTTACCGCGATGCGTGTGGATGAAGCGCCTATCTGCTTTATTGAGCTCATCCTTATACCGGATGTTGTTGCTCTGCATCTACATTAGCCATATGAAAGAAGAGAAGGGAATTTTCAACTTAAATTTGATCCCAAATAGTTTTTTATTGATTTCATTATACAATTGAGTTTATGTGAAATTGACTCCATACTTAGTTAATTATATTGGCCGGGGAAATGTAAACAAAAAATCTAATTTGTGTTGTGAATTAATTGAATAGATATTGGGAAATAGATTTTGCTATGGTGCGTTTGAAGTATTGATTGAAAGCTTGTCTAGCTTAGTTAAAATCTTGTTGCATGTTATATATAGCATGTATTTGATGTCCTTTCACTTTACTTGGGAGGTGAAGGAAACTGTATTTAAGAAGGGATTATAATGAATTTCTGCAGTTAGGTTGCAGGAACTATTCCGTTGAAAGATTTTTACTTCAATGGCATGCAATTTTATACTGTTGTGAATAAGGTCCACATATGTCAGTTGTACCTCTGCAACTTCAACAAAGGATGTGTTGGTAGGCTATTGCAATGCAAGTTACACATCAATATTGCCAAAGGGAGGCCAAAGCTGGCCAAAACAAGTTGGTTCACATAAGAAAATCCTAATTCAGTTGGTGGGAGACGTTTGACTTATTCTAAGTAGTGTATTCCAATGCAAAAGGAAGCAGAATGTTCAAATTCAAAAAATCGGTGTTATAAATTAAATATCTAGCATAGGAATAATGGACAGTGCACAGAAAAATGGGTCAAAGTAAAAAGCACATGGCAAACAAGCTTTGCGAGATCACAAGTGGAAACAACAGCAAGGAGAACACCAAGGGATTTGAATGCTCAACAATACACGGAACACTTTAGAGCTATTAGGGGAAACACAATTATAGAACAAAGCACAACAAATATCTAAGATGTCATAAGAAAGAAATGGGGGCATGAAAACAGGAAAAAAGGGAGCTGATGATTGGTAATAGCAAATTGTAACCCTGAAAGCTTGACCGAAGCCATGATGCTTCAGCAGAATGTAGAGGAATTCCATGCAGATCTCTTTTAGAACGAAAAATATATCCCAGGAATTGAAAGTAAATATGATAATGGCAACCACCACAACCAATGTACCTAAAAATGAAAGTTTTTAATACATTTATATTAATCTTACCGTGACATATACACTTGATCATCGATAATTACCCGGCGCGAAATTAGCTGGCTCCAACATGATGATCCGGCAGTCTCTGCTCCAAAGGCTGTACACCAGTCTGGCGATCGGCACCGTGTGCAGACATTAAACAAGAGGGTTTCTGTGCAATATGGCAAACATCACTTTTTTTTTAATTACATTTCACGATTCCAGTGAAGTTGCATCCCATAGTATTGCAGTGATTACAATGGAGATTTTTACATTTTTCACAACAAAATATTGACGTTCGTTTTTGAGTTGTGTTGCCTGCATTATTACATCTGCAGCCACATTGTTCGCCTTGAGACCTCACACTGTGAATTGCTTTGCAGTTGTATGCCTGCACTGGGCCCAATGTGTTAACATTAACTCTGGCATGCCCAAGTGTCAAGATGTCGAACACGGGCGTGTTTACATTTTGTTGACAATATGTCACCTCTATTGATAATTAATTTAGTACTGGTTGGTATTCACACCATTCTTTATGGTTTGTACACCTGAAGTAAAGAACCAAGGTGGCCTACCGGGTTAGAACCAAGGTGACCTACCGGGTTAGAACCACAAACCTCCACTACCACTTGGCCATGGATAAAAATACCGTTCCAGGTTTTTTTTCCTCCTAAATTATTAGCTAATGAGCAAATGGTTAACTTTCCTGTTGAAAACAGGTTTGCCACATGTATGGTACGTTTGCATGACTTGTTTTATGTATTTGTAGTGACCCAACTGCTCACTGTCCGTGACTGACCAACTGCTCACTGTCCGTGACGCTTCAGTCAACAACTTTTTAATGTTTTTTTATTACCTCTCTGGATAACTTTTTAACGAACAATTCTCAAAGATTCATTTCTCCTACCATTTGGTAGAGGTTAGGATTACTTATAGGACCTTTTAGCACCATCACAATGAGCAAAAAAAAAAACACATTGACGGGCGGTAAAAGTTTATTTTGAAATTGGCGTCGTGAAGGATTTAAGTCTGACCGGCAATGTGAGGGATAAGCTGGCGATGAAGGGTTGACAGCACAAGGCTCCCGGTTATAAAACTTGTGAAAAATAGCTGAGACTCGTGTCCCCACTGAGAAGGGACCGTGATACTGGGAACATGCCCTGTGCAAGGAATGCACACCCCCACACCGAGCTGGTGGCAAATGTAATCCGCGATGTGCATCTCGCAGCTGCCTGTTCAGTTGTTTGCCAAATGATTGTCCATGTCATGTAATGGTAATGCGTTGTAATGGCCTTGCACGTGTCTCTGGATACAGACTAACAGTGATTCATTATTTTGTCACACAGCCTTCTATGGCCTTCCATCGTGTTTTGTGCCGTTTGCACAAGCAAACTTACACTTCAGGGTTGTGGTTGATGTAAAATGAGCAGAAGATTAGTTTTTGTTTACCCTTGTGAGCAAGCTAAGAAAACACATCTGCTTTTTACATGTGTGAGAGCTTCTCGTAAGTACAAATTTACACCTGTGTAAGAAAACCTTATGGTGACATGGAATTTGACAGGCGATGCTTCAGTATAATGTACAGCCCTTTGTCAATCCACCTCTGGATGAAGGCCTCCCCATGTCATGTTGACTGGTGTTTTTACCATACTTCACCACTCCAGTTAGTGCGGGTAGGTTAAGGGGGATGACTCAGGACTGGTACAGATATCAATTGCCCACTTGCACCCCATCCTGATGTTCATTTGCAGATTATATACCGAATGTGCCGTATGAAGCCTAATTTTATATCGCATGGCCACAAAAGGAGTGATGTTCGTCCTTCCATGGACTGGATGCATTGTGGTCTCGGATTCTGCTAATTCATCTTGGGGATGGCCAGATAATTGAAGTTTTCAGGGTTAAAGAGTCAAGGTTAGAGGTTAGTAATGTGTTTTTTTTTAATGGCTTGAATGTATAGATGCAATGGAGTGATTATCATGATTCTTAATGTACGAATGTCTGCTGATGTCAACATTTTCCTCCCTGGGTAATGTAATGCACTCTCTGTATCATTGTAATTTAAAAATGTAGAAAATAATATAATCGCACTATATATACACGCACTGCTTCTCATTAGCCAGGGAATGCAAATAATGCAGTTCACATTATTTTATGCATTGCTTTAATAAAAACCTCACCAGTATGAGCCAAATGTTTGATTTTCACATTTTCCACAATTATATAAAAAAAAATAACTATTCAGCTGCATGGGTGAAAGCATTAGGCTAGCCAAATACAAGACATGCCAAATATATAATATATAGGATTCCTTTATATGCATTGAGGATATAGAAGTCCACATATATGTAATGTTGCATGCATTCAGTGTTGACCATTACTGATTTTGGCCACGGTTCTGTTGCCTGTGCGTCAAACCTAACCTCTGTGACGCAGCTGTTGGCCAGTTTTCTCACCTACCACTTAACCAATGCCTTTTTGTGAAAAGATTATTGGAAAAGGTAACTGCAATCTTTTTGTCCCAATCTTTAATATCCAATTGATGATTACGTGTGGCTTGTAGTGCGAATGTTAAATCCGCAAATGACAGTCTTAAAATGCCATGAATCCAATTAACACTTTACATTGTCGGGGGGGGGGGGGGCGCTGTCATTCATAATTGTGTTTTAATATAAGGCAGCTGCCCCCCTCATCCATTATTGAACAACGTAGGGAAATTGACGGTTTAACAATACCCAACGCAGCAAAGAATCGAAAAGCAAGATGTAATGTTTTTTTACTCAACAATCGTCAGAAGAAGCACCTTAATCGCAGGCGCCATTTATTACATACTTTATACATTCTATACAGGAGTGTGCATATTATTCCCTTGTATATTGCCAAGTGCTGACTCCAGCTGAGATGCTGTTTACCCGCTTGGCAAGTGAAATGGACATTCAGCCCTGCGTGTGCGATGGCTTCATACTGCACGGCAAATGGGTCATGTTATTGGTGGGATGATTAAGCAGAACAATTAGAATACGCTGATGTGGAAAGATGATCGTCATCTGTGCACCGTGTATTCTCGTACAGCAGCACCTGCCCAACTGTGGGGGGGGGGGGGGGGACTGGCCATGCCGTCTTGCAGTGCTTGTCATTATGGATGTGCTAGGGTAATTAAAAGATGATGAAAAATGTTTTCTTTAAATACACAAAAGGAGAACCGTAAATGTTTCTCCAAATATAGATAGCGTTACAGTGAATGCCACTAGCAACAGCTGATGTTTTGAGCTCCGTTTCTCTGCATTTTTTGTTGTTGTATAATTCAAGAATATGGGGAGTCATCTGATTCCTGTGCAGACTTTCATCTGTTACACAACCCAACCGAGGCCCTGCAATGTGTTTACATGTACCGGTCGGGGCTCCTCTGGAAGGGCTTTGCCAGCATTACTTTCTTTCACAAGGAGCTTGCATTGAACCCTTGGGGTGATCCACGACAAATATTACGAGCTTAATCACATTGTGATGGGCTTTCATACATTAAGATTAAACGATTTGGAAAGTTAATATCACGTTATTTGGTCATCACGATCCGTCAGCAGATAGTTCGTAGGTGTCCACCTCACATTTAGTCATGTGTGTTTCCACATTCCTCTGTCTTGTGCACAACATTCTCAAGTAGTTTTTTTTATGGCTGGCTTTAGTTGATACAAATCTACATTACATTTGCAAATATAGACTAGCACCCATTCAGCATGTAAGTATAATCATTGTCTCATTGTGCAGGACATGAAAAACGTACAGTATATCATGTACTGTATTAGAAAATAGTTTTGCTGGCTGGATTCCGAGCTGCCTGTCTGGTGAACACGCGTGGTGATGGCGTCATCTGCATCCCAGTGTTGAGTCATATGGAGGGAGATGTCGGAAAGTGGACAGGAGAATGGAGAAAGAAAAACGGAGACGATGCGAGAAATCGAGATGCATTGGGATGTACAGTGCAGAGAAGCCAAGAGAAAGGTGGAGAGACAGGGTTCTATTTAACATAACGTTTTGTTGGCTGGCTGCGAGGAACTGATGGATGGGTGGACGGTCACGTCCAAATGACGCACAGGTTGCTCGTAACTTATTTAAAATATAGCATATTTAGTTAGTACGTAGAGGTATGACAATTGTACAAAATGAAAGTAAGGTAAGCGATGAGACACTCATTGTTTATTAATGCAACGCATTTTGAATATTTACTATATTGCATTTTAACTTTTTCAGTCTTGTAATTAATTGGTGTTAAAATGATGTCTAACGCAGACTTTTAATCAACCGTAACGTATGCATTGTTGCCTTTTGTGTCCTCTTTGGTTTTTCATCGGGTAGCAGCTGCCTTTTAATGTTTAATAAGTAGGCATTACCCTGGTCTGAATATACTTACTGTCAATTAAATTCAGCCGCCGTAGGTAGAGGCACAGCCTTTGTTTACTGACACGCTATGCCATGCATGCTGTACAAGTGTGCAGGAAATGAATTGTTTATGCTGGTAGCCTTGTGTCGGCGGTGCACCATCGTTTCGTATTACGGGGATCACTCTTGCGTTTGAAATGGAAATAGGGAGCGTAGCCTGAATACAGTTCAATAGCCGTGAACCTCGCTGTAAGCTGCAGGCAGTTAACCGTTTCAAGTCCGGTCCAGGTTCCGCATGCGTGCTCGAGTCCCACTTTCTCGTGCCATTATTTACCCTGGCCATTTTTTTTTGCTGGGGGTGGGGGTGTAAAGTAATGTTTATCCAGCCATATTAATTGGCCATATTTAGTTCAATTTCAGTAATCGCAATCCACATTTTTGAAAAATGTTAATAGTTTAAAACTATTACTTAATTTGAGACACCCGAATCAATACCCTAACCCTTTGCATTTGATGTTTTTTTTTGCTCATTGAATTAGTGGTATATAATTGCACATACTCCTTTATTGATTCCACACTGCTGATCGAGATGGAACACGATTGCCGGCGCGCAGCTTTTATCAGAACCCTTTGCAAATCATCGACTGGCTTCTCTGTTACCGCCACTGCGGTTTGGTTGAATTACGCCTTTAATTAAAAGACGGGTATGCAGGGGCGCTAAGGCAGTTTACGCGGGCCAGCTCGGAGAGAAGA